TGGAGCAACAGTGGTTGCTGTTCTGTCCCCATGTGAGAGTGAGACGCTTAGGAGGAGTCACGTTGTGTTCCTTGGTGTTGCTCGAGAAATGAGGACTGTGGATATTTAATTGTTGGCCTACAGTCGTGTTTGTTTTGTCTCTGACGCTTACGGATGTTAGTTTTTGGTGGACTTGACGTGAAAACAACTGGGTAGAAAGTAGCAACGTTGACACAATGTTCAATAGACAGCTGTAGCTTTTGTCCAGTTACCTGCCCCTGCTTGTTTTGTGAATTTTTTTGGACAGCCTGTGCATGCTGCGGTTTCAAATCACAGAAGAGAAGTATGTGATTTTGAATTTACAAATCTTACTTTTTGTTTATTTTTCGGTACCATTCTGCTTCAACTTGTATACCTGATGGTTACCAAAAGGAAAGTAGTGACTTACATCTCTTCTTCTACACAAAAATTCCGAATGGAATATTTTGTTGAATAAACTGCATACATTTGAATTGCTTTTGAATAAAAAAATCCCCAAACACAAGAGTTATGTAAGTTCGATTTATAATTTGGGAAGGCTGAAAAAGGCCTCATGAAGGCCTGCCTGCACTGAGGTTATATGTAGGTGTAAGGTTCACGCTTGAAATACAGTCAGCTGATGCTCTATACAATTGTCACTTCTGTATAGCTTCAGTAACACGTGCTGTAGAAAATTCTACGCAGTTGTTCAGCAGCACTGCAATGAAATAGATATGCTGATGTCCTTCTCTTTTCACCCATTAACAAGTGATTGGACAAACCGCAAGCGAACAGAAACGTGGTTTCTGTCTGCATACTGATCCTCTGGACCACGTGCCTTCCCGTTGCTAATAAAGATAGTGCCACCTATTTGAAGACATCAGCAAGCATATTTAAAACCCAAGATGAATTGAGCACATTCACTGCATTAGAAGCAGTTTCTAAATTGTAAGTAACTAAGTCTTGTTGTATAACTGCATTGCACTCAAGGGAACAATTTAGATTTTGAATTGTATATGTTGGTAAGTGAAAACTATGTAGACATTGATTATTTTTTCCCCTTGACCTAATCATTGTTTGCCTATGGCAATATCTGATACGTTATGTGTTCACCAGGAATTATCTTGGGACCACAATTGTGGCTTTTTTTTAGCTTCATTAGTAATCATAGTTACATTAGGAATAGAAGGCAATAGAGTAATATACTTGTAATGTACTATACCATTTTTTCTATTTATTGTAAAGGTGGAAGTGAACTGTGTATGTGAGAGTCTGAATTTGTATAGGCAGAGGAGGAGACCAGGTTTGAATCTGTGCGTTTTCACCAGGAATGTAATTTAAAAAAAAATGGAAGGCAAATGCCTATTCAGATTATTTAATTTTTAAAAATGTGTTGTGAAAAAAATCCTTTATTTGTTTCTCCTTATGTATTTGTAGTCTAATGATAGAACTTTTCTTGGTTATACTAGAGAATATGAAAATGATGCCGAGTAAGCTAAAATTTAGTAATGTGTTTATCATTGTCTGAATTGAACAAGCTGTCCAAAGTAAACAACATAAATAGTGAGAAGAATGTTTCTTCTTCTCCCCCACCTTGGGAATCTAATGTGTATCACCTTTTAGACAAAAATTAAAAATTCCAAACAAGTACCTTAAGAAGGGTGTTTAATTTTTGACATGCTGTTGATTCCTTCAAATGATAATTTTGTTTGTGTGCTAAAATACTTGTTTGTAGTGTAAAGGATTATGCAAAAAACTGTGAAAGATTGAACTTTTAACTTCTACCTAGAGGTCATGTAACTAGACACATGGACACTCTGCTTGTTCAATACAGTGTTAGTAATTAAAAAATTCCCACATGAATACTTGCATATTTGCATGCATAAGAGGCCAAACTGTGGCCTACCTAAATATAGACTTGCAGTTTGGTATTTCTGAGAATTAATTCTAGCACAAAACACCGTTTCCTCCATTGACTTGTCTACTACCTGCATTTTTCCAGCTATGCAGCTGACAGCTGAGCCGTTTTTAGTTTAGCTTAGACCATTCATTTTGCATTATCTTTTAATATAAGGGCTTTGCTTTTCAAAATATATGTGACCGAGTAGTGCCTTTTTTCCTCCTGAACAGCAGTGACTCATATGAAAGTAGACTTAGATGCTGCACATGGAAGCATGTGCTGTTGTTGCAGTGAGAGTAGTTCTCAATGTGTAAGATCCGTTAACTGGAAACGGATGTGTAAAGAGATGTTCAACCTGGGAAGTATGATGGGACAATGTTGCTCTGAAAAGATAGTTGTCAAGAAATAGAGTGATGCTTTTGATGTTTGTATCCACATGAGGGAGACAGTGTGACAGGTTCATTTGCCTTAATTGATGGCAAAACTTGCCAACTTGAAGTGCAGTTTTGGAGCAATCACTGAATGCGCTAGCTGTCTAACTTTGCCACCTTCTTCTGCTATTAACTGATATGCCCATACAAATTTTATCTTTCCCTCCTTAGATGTAACTGAGATCGAGATTTCTGAATAGTAAATGAAGCCATCTAAGATGTGTTCTGAGCTTTTTCTTTAAAACAAACAAAACCTTAGTGTGGTTATGGCTTTCTCTCTCTAATCTTTGTACTTCTGCCTTAATATGTAAAATGATATCTTAGACTGTGGAAAACACTGATTATTAACTCAGTGTTTTGTTGCTCACCCTTTATGGAAATGTTACTGTAGGTGGCCAACAGATACAGTTAAGCTACAAATGAATGTCTCTTAGAACAGGTGAATTCAGTATGGTAGGTGTTTCTTTATTAATTTGAAAATAAAAGTTCTTTGTAGCTTATTTAGGGTCATGCATTGCTAGGAAGTTCTGTACTGATGAGACGCTTTTCTCAAGAACCAACCACTTTTGTTCAGGGCAGCTCCTGGAGGATCTGGAACCTTGCCTGAAGATGCCTAACGTTACCTGTAGGTAGTGTTAATTAGCAAAATGTTTGGAACATACAACATTTTCCTATGTTGTGTTTGACAGTATTGTGACGAATTGGTTAGCAGGCAGACTTATTGTCGCTTCAGAATTTTATATGGACCAGTTGTTGCTATAAGTGGTTTAATTACATCCCATATTTAATTACTTACTGGTATTATTGTCCCCTTTTCAACCGTTTAAGGGCCTAATTACAATTAGCTGATATGTTCATAAAGATCAGTTTCATGGTTTACCTGAAACCATGGCCAGTAAACTATTTCCTGATTTTTATTTGCTGTCATAGTGTTGAAATACTATATTTTGTTTTGAAGACAAGCCCACATTGTTTCTGAAGTGGCTGACTGGATTGGTGGATGAGGGGAAACAAAACAATCTCTAAATTATGTCTAGTAACTAAGACAAACAATCTGGTTTTGTAAATTCATAAATTTGTGTTTCAACTTCTCAAGGTGAAGCAACATAAATATTTAAGAAACTTTATTCTTCCAGAATTGACTTGGAACTCCTTGCTTTGCTTAAGCATGAAACAGATAGATCACCTTTTGTCCTGATCTCTTACACAAATAATAATGCTGCTCGCAAGTAAAGTTTAAATTGTTTGGATACAACTGAAAACACTGTAACTTTTTTTGCTTGCTTGTTGTTTGAGGTAATTGGAAGAATACTGTGGGACAGCTCTTTAATATGCTTTTATGAGATTTTTTGTGATTCTGATTATTTTTGTGTGTGTGTGTGATTTCTGTGATTTTTTTTAACTGTTCATCTTGACTGTTCCAAAAATAATACCAAGCACATCTAAATGTGTGGTAGAGAAGGAATAAGCTGTAGTTTATCCCAGCTACATGGTCTGGATGTACTCATTTCTTGAGGTTATCATGGTCTCAATCCCTATTTTTTAAAAGATTTATTTATTTTGTGTTTTCGCATTTATTTCACATAATTCCATTAAGTCTGCATCTCAAGAATTTAATGTTTCTTTGTGCTTAGAATAGATATTTAGTCACTGTCTCTTCCTTCCCCTTACCCAAGAGTTAAACCTATAAAACAATGGCCATATGAGACAACTCACTGGCAGTAATGAAGCTGGAAGCAAGCTGGTACTTAACCAGAGAAATTCTGCTTTGGTGTGCACACGCCTTAGAAGTAGCTGTTGAAAAATTTCAAAACGAAAAAATGCATATGCAGCCTTTTCAGGAGACATCTTCCCTGTGAGTAATAAAAGCACCTTCCGTTGACAGACAGGAGACTATGAAAACTTTGGTCTTGCATTAGGGGATAATACCAATTTCCTTAAAATATAATTTGAAAGCTGAATTTTCTCAAACTCGGCATTTTTCCCTGCTTTATCCTTTTCCTCTTCCCCTCCTCCAGTCTTTTTCTCTAATATTCGCTCCTGGCCCAAACTCGTGTACAGCATTATTATAGCCTCATGTTATAAAATTGAAAATTTTAAAATGAAAATAATGATTTGTAGTAAAAAGCCTGACAGACTAATTACAGTATTGCATTAATTATTATCTTATTTCAGCTCTGTTCCTCTCACAGCTAATTCAGATCTGGGTTTTCGTGTTTTTTAATCCCTATTGACACTGTAATTTTGAGAGAGAATATACTGGGGAATGATATATATAAAATCAAGAAATAAAAATTGTCAGAGAAACAGTTGATTTCTAAAATGTTGCCTTGGACATGTTAGTAATAGAATGCAAGTAGTTATGTTTAAATGTGATGCTTTGTGGATCTTCTGGTGAATGTAACACCTATATACCATATAATACAACTCTCGAAATCTTCCATTTCTGGGTATCTTTGTAGCATGCACTAAACAGCAGTCATTAATTCAGAAATTTGTGTGTTGTACAGCTAAGTTGGTACATCATTGATGCATTTTACATTGAGTTTTATTTTTTCTCCCCAAATGCGTGCAATTCTTATAACGATTAAAGTATAGATTGATGTCAGTGCTACAGTATAGCTTCAGGACTGCAATTTGAAGCTACTTTAGAAAAATACAATTCTTTAGACATGGTGAATCTGAAGTTGAATGGAAGTCCTATTAGTGGTGAATTACGTGTAAATATTAATAAGGGAAGAGTTCACAGCAAGTCCTGAGTTTGGGAAATTGAGCATGATAATGTGCTGAAATGATGTCTGTCTCGAAGATACGCAGATGCAATAATTTTCAGTTTTTATTTGAACTTTTAAATGGTGCAGAAGGTGCCCGGCTTAGTTTTTAAGCAAGAAAGTGCTTGGAAGTTTTGGCAAATATCGTTGTAATGGATGTATGGTAATGAAGGAGGTTAGGATGAAAGATGAATTGGACTGAATGACTGTTCAGTCATTTAGGCAAGGCTAGTTGCATGGTTTGGTTGTTAGATGTCTCAAATTATGTTGCTTTAGTTGCTGCGCTTGATTGGCTGTCTTCACATCTTAACAGAGTTCTGGAAATTAGTTTCTGACAGTTTGCTTTGTTTTCCCTTTTCAGGATGCTTCGTCTGCAGACATTCGGAAAGCTTATCGAAAGCTTTCACTAATTTTACACCCAGACAAGAACAAAGATGAAAACGCAGAAACACAGTTTAGGCAAGTAAGTGCAGTGTGTGGCAATAAAAGTTTTAGGGAAAATAGAATCAGATTTTTTTATGATGATGATATTTTAGTAAGAACAATGGTACACCTTCGAATGACTCAGGTGAACATTGAATTACATTTTTCCTGGATTAAAAACAAGTACGGTTTTTCAGAATTAACTTGTTGATTAACTCAGATTCAGTATTTACCTGTATATTAAAAATAATTTGAACATAATACTTAGACTTGCCCTCTTAGGAGGGAAATGTTTTGCACTTTATGTAAGACTGTTTATGAATAGTCTTTTCAAAAGCAGTAGGGAAAATTTCTGATCAGTTCTCAATGCAATTCATATGTAGGCATAATTTAATGAAAGGAATTAATTTTAGTTTTTGAATTTTTACCTTTTAAATCTTTACAAAGTGAAACCATGAGCCTGTTGTAATTAGCTCTACCTTTAAAAATACACTTCTGATGACTAAATACAGGCTACTTAATTTCAGTAAGATCTTTAGGATTAAACAAATTATACCTTTTATTTTTAAGATGTGACTAAGACAACTCAATTTGACAGACTGAGGAGAGGAAAAAAATCTTTTGTAGGAGTTGCTTGTTTGTGTATCTGATGACTCTTTGCATATGAATATGTTGCTGTTTCTTTTGCATACTGAGTTTACTTAGTCTTGTACGGAAGAGTGAAAACTAGCACAGATCAGTAGTTGGCAAATGTAAAATATGATACTACTATTCAAACTTTATAAATTCAATCCTAAAGCAAACTCTTTTGTGTGATTTTTTTTTTTTCTTTTTCTGTTTTTGTTTTAGTTGGTGGCTATCTATGAGGTTTTAAAGGATGAAGAAAGGAGGCAGAGGTGAGTTAATTCGCACAGGTTCTTAAGCAAAGCGTTCATGCCAGTGATATATTGAAGTCCTATTTGACTTAATTGTAACTCTTCAGATGATTTTTTGCATAATTTTAGTTTGTAATTCCTATGTAGCTGTTTAATTAAAGATTGTATGTGGCTTAAAGGGGAAGCTGTTGTGTATTTTTGTGTGATATAATGGTTATTCTCCTTTAAAACTAGCATTTGAAAGAACAAATCTGATTGTTACTTGGAACAATTTTTTTAACACCTAATGATTATATCACTTTTTGTTGAGTTGTGTCAATTACCATTGCTAGTTTTATTAAAGCTGTGGTTGAAAATGTAGGCCGCTGATTCAACTGACAGTTGTATCTCACTATAATCAATAAACAGTTTGTTGCATGATATTTAGGGATTATTTCCAGTGTACGTCGTCTTCAGTGTTGCTTAGTTCATTGTTCATTTTCTGTTGCTTAGTTCATTTTTTCTTTCAGACGTATTATCTATCATACTGTAAACTTTGATATACATATCATAATTTTTTTAAATAAATGATAGTTGTCCTTGCTGCTTCAGGAGCAGGTCCAGGAGTACCTGAAGGGGATAGGATTAAGAACTGAAAACCTGGGGCTGATCTGCTTTCTGGAAGACTGTTTTGAACTTTTTTTTTCCCCTTGTTTTAAGCAGATGACCATTTAAGTTAATGATTATCAGGAAAACTAGGACACTGAAAGAGTTTTGCTTTTGGGTTGGAGTTTTAGTAAATCATCTTTCGGCTTACAAGTCTTTAAACAGGGCTTCACGAAACATTTCTTGAAGGGTTTTTGGCTTTGTAGATGTCTTGGCTGGAGTCCAGGTTTTATAGTACAGATTATCTGCTTTTTGATAATCCTCTCTTGAAGTGTAATGAAAATGTACTTCATAGAAGTACTTTTAGAAATTTGTATTTATTTTTTTTTACTTCACCTCTCACAAGAGAATTCATTTTGAAATTCTACTCAAGGAAAGCTTAAAAAAATTAGTAGTTAAGTGGTTTCAGACCACTTGAAAAGTGAGTTATCCCTAAAATTATCACACCTTTTTGTTTATAACATTGTTTACATACACTTTGTGCCACTCTGGAACTTAATTGTAGTATGGAACTTCTGGGAATTTCCTTGAAGCTGTGATAGCAGCTTTTTGCATGGAACTATGATGCAGTAGCTTGTAAAAATTATATTTTTATGCCTTGTGTGTGTTACAAATGTGACTAACTTACCCAACTTGTTTGTGAGAATATTGTTAATTAGTGCAGCACAGTGATTACGAATGAGAAGTTCAAGCAGCAGTAGGATTGTTCTAGCTTAGACTGATTTCATTTTCAATATCTTATTCTGTACGTAGACAATGTTGTAGTTTTCTTCCACAGGGTGGATGTATGGTTGATATTGCTTCTACAGTTGATTAAATACAAATATAGTGGATTAAATAGTGTTTACCTTCAGATAACTTTCTAGAAATAATATGCAGCATTTAGAAATAACATGTAGAGTATCAGAGCTATATGGTCTTATTGCTTTGAGAAAACCTTTATTGATTCAATTTATTACAGAGTCTATTGATAAACTCTCAGTTGAGCTTGTAAATGGGGGGTGGTCTGTCCCGTATCCTGTTGTAGCAGATCTTTAAAACAAGTCTTAAGTAAGGGTGCTGGGAGCCACTCCCCCTGTAATATTGTTTCTGTTGTAGGGTAACTCATGGGTTTCTTGCAACCATACAGCAAAGGGGAGAGTTGGTGCTTTTTGGGATATTCCTACTTTAGATGTTGTTTTTTTTGCTATGCATTGTGTGAAATGATGGACCCAGTAGAAGAGGCTCAAAGTTTACTGTTGTGCCTATGTACTGGGGAGAAACTGTAACTGCACCCTTTGTCTCTCAGGGCTTATTAACTCAGTTTTATCCTGATTCCAGAGACGCTTATTTGATTCTGCTGTAACAAGGCTTTCTGTCAGATTTCTTTTTTTCTTTCTCTCTCTCTTTTTTCTTTTTCTTTTTTACCCCCTTGGCAGTGCAGTAGTTTTTATTTCTGAAGTAACTCAAAGACCTGATGAGATGAGAGATGAGATGGAGATTAGTTCCGTTTCTTACAAATTAGTTGGTGACAAATTCTGGCAGTTTAGCTGGGAATCCCTTCACAACTGGACACCTAAATGGTTTGGGGCATGGAATTACACCACCTCGAGACAATTGAGCTGCAGGCTTCTGCTTCTGTACAGTGAAGTCAGCCGTACCTGCCTCTTACTGTTCACCTCAAAAGTGACATCGTCCAGGATTGGTCTGTGCATACAGAGAGTGGAACCAGTAAAGGCAAAAATTAGGTCTTGCACTGTATGTGTGAGTGATTAACTCATTTCGAAACAATAAAACTGGGTCTAATTACACCCTTCTGCCATGTCTTGGTGCATGTCAGAGGTGTTAATTGTTTGTGTGCGTAAAGAAACAGCGTTCTGAAAAGGCAGATCTGTTCACCAGCTATACGTAATTATTTTTCTACAACCTTTTTATTTTCGTCTTTATCAGTGAATTTTTGCTTTATCTGATGGCAGAAGCCTTTCTTAAAATGTTATAGTTCTTCTCCTGACAGGTATAATACAAGGCTTTATAATTAAAATGTGGGTTTGCTTTTTTGAGAAGGTTATATAGTTGCTTGTGAAGTATACTAATATTACTAATATTACAGAATATAGTAATATATTCTATGATTCCAATATTACAGTGTTAGTACTTTTCTCTTACACACTTTGATACGTAACCAAAACAGTCTAACATTTAATTCTAACATTAAACATACATGCAGCATTTTTTAATATAACAGTGTTTAACATCAAAGTAAACATACACACAGCAGAATATAATGTTTTATGTGTTGTATACATACTGCAGTGTGTGAAACAGAAGTTTATCTCTAGGGTACGTAGAGATAGATGCAATTCTTGAAGTACACTTTACTTCAGGGCATTTATTGGTAAATCAACTTGACGATGATAAATTTTATTAGCCTTTGATTATTTTTTAATTTATGAAAAAGTAGATAGTTTTACACACGTCTATTAATTGTAATCAGGCAAAAATCTTAGATTGTAATTTCATTGTTTGTTACCATTTTAGGAAGTTTTTTTTACCTACCAGGTCTATCCTCTGTAACAATGTGGGCTTGATTACAGGAAGCATTTGCAAAGGAATCAAGATATACTTGTTTAGAGTAAGGACAGTGTTTAACTTAGCTCTCATTATAATTAAATGTCTGTATTCATAGGTATGAATTGTTCTGGCTGATGTTGCATGGGATTCTTCGACAGCTTGAGGAAAAAAGGCCCCCAAAATAAAAAACGCCAGTGCAGTCTTCCCGTAGTTCAGAACAGATCTCATTAGTTCAAGGTTAGCGTATAAACTATATCGGATCTCTGAAATTATTGGAAATATGAAACGCAGTGGCTTTCTTAAAGGGAAAAGCAAATCATAATTATATTAAAATAGATGAAACTGTAATTAGGTACTGCAGTTAATGCATTTATTTTTCTTGCAATATAATTGATTCTACAAAGAGGTCTAAAAACCAGTTCATGAAACTTTATAGAAGAATGAAATTTTAGTAATCTTGCAATTGGTTACCTGTTAGTATGAGACTAACAAGTCTCGTATAGAATCCTGAGTTTTAAAATAAAGATTCAACTTAAGTTGTAAATGGGGATTTTTTTTTCTTTTTGTTTCTTTACTGGTGCTTTGGGGTTTTTTAGCTTGCTGGCTGCTGCATTTCAGAGACAACTGGCAGGCATAGTTGTGTGTCAAAGATTTGCTACATTCTGTGTACATATGTCTGGGGAAAAAAATACTGCAGATGTGTTTTTCCTTTTCAGCTTGGTTTTTTTTTGTTTTTTTTCTTACATAGAATAACAATTAGCATAGGTTGCCAAAAGAAGAGTGCTTTGTAATTAAATTTTGAATGTCATTCTTGATGCACATGGATTAACTATCATAGTTAGTATAGGCTTCTATAAAGAAATTCTTTAATGAGAAACTTGCATTTGATTAAACCACATCGTAAAATTTGAAATCAAGATACAAAAATTATGGGAAGCTTCTGAGTTTCACTAGAATAATTTTCCAGTTGAAAACCTAAAAATCACTGATATCTTTATTTTTCAAATACAGAGCTTAATTACTATTGAAAGCAGTGATTTATCTTTTAACAGTATATATTCTAAAAAGTGGGTTATAATAGAAGCTATCTTCCCTTAAAATGGCCAGTCGTGTGAGCCATAATGCTCATTGATAGTAAAATCAATAGAGCATTGATTCTGAGACTTAATCCTGGGAGACTGTTGTTCAGAGCAGCGGACATAGCCTAGTAAATACAGAGTGCTGTTTAAAGTGTTTAATGCAAGAGACTCTACTGTCTTAATTTATTTTTTCTTAACAGATAATTTATATTAGAACGTGGTTGCCAAACGTTAGTTTGCAATCTTGTTTTACATATTACTCTGTTGTAACCATTAGCATGTATGGACCTTATTTAATCAGTAGCCACGTTTTTAGTACATCAGTTAACAAGCCTTAGTGTATGAGAGGCAAATGCTTAATAAATTTATACTAGTACTAAAAAAAAAATTCTTTCTTGATTCTACATATGTTTCTCTGAAGCTTTCAAAGGAAGAGCATCTTTTGTGAAGTCTTGTTATCAACCTAATTTGTTTTAAAATGGTGTTGTTTTTAAAATATTCTCTTGTATTCTAACAATAAAATGTTTAGCAAATGCATTATTTTTTAAATGCTAAAAATTCTACTTAATTCTTAAACAAAAAGCTAAGTAGAAGTTTTAGTTTTGAAATAACATCCTATGCAATTTTTCTTAACAGAGTTTGTGTTAATGCATCAGTAGTTAATTCGTTCCGACTTCCTGAGAAAGGAAAAAAGTTATTACTTCACATTTTACAAGAGTGGATGTTAATCTTAGTATTCTCGTAATTGTCATGGAAGGTGAAATTTTGTAATATGAATTTTATTTCTGGTAACATTCAGAACATTGCAGAATCCTGAGGTGTTAAATCTTTTGCGTAGAAATAACGGTACCAACTTGAGCAAATGTTTTCTCAGAAGTCAGCTTTTCTGGATGTGCTGAATTAAAGTATACTTTTAAACTGAAAACCATCACCTCTTTTTCTGCTTAAAAAAATGAATTTGCTCGTGGAAATTTTTTTTAGTACATCTCCAACGTATCAATTTAATAACTATCAAAGTAGCTAGTGCAGTTGTTGCATTTAAATTGATTTACATGTCAAGACTGGCAGTTTAGCAGCTGCGCTATTATTCCTGGATCGGTCAATTTACTTGAGAAAAACCTACTACTGAGTTCTACTGACCTGCATGACAATATAGGCCCTATTTCTATTCCTGTAATTAGGCCTGCGACTAACTCAGAATATTTTTAATTAAAATATTTTGGTCAATGTGTTGCACCAAATTAGGCCTTTCAGTGCAGATTTAATTCTGGAAATGGTGTGATTAGAATATGTAATGAGTTGTGTTCAGTTTAAGATTAACAGGTTGTGCATCTTGAACATACAGGTTTTTGAGTTTACTGTAGAGATTTTTGTTTGAAACTTTATTCTGAAATGTTAACAAATAGAAAAATCTATTTTGCATGTCTGTGGTTTGTTTATTTTTAAATTGGTAATATACTGTACATGAAATATCTTAGTATGTCTGGGGTCTTTAAAGACATTTTTGTGAGGAAAAACTGACAAATTGTCATAAAATTATTTCTATACAGTCAGCAGTTAGTAAAATTAAACAGTTTTAAAATAGATTGATTTTTGGAGACAGCTTTTCAAATAGAAAATCAAAATCATCTAGCTGTGGTGAATTTTGTTTTCTAACGTCAAAATCAAGCTTTTAACTTAAATTCATATCTGACACAGAACGGATGTTAAGTGTGGCAGCTTTTTTACCTAATGGAAATTGTGCTACTTTAAGAACAAAACAAAAGCAAAGGTACTTCTCCCCTCCCCCAACACTTGTGCTTTTTAATTTATAAAATAAAAAAAGGTTTCTAGTGTGTGAGACTTTTTTGTTCTTTGCTAGCTATATCGTAGTTTGTGGTTTATTATTTACTTCTGTCACAGAGACCTGCCCGCTGATCACTAGGCAGGTAGAATATCTACATTTCTAGAAGTCTGTTATTTCAGAAGTGAATGAATTGTGAGGGGGTGTTGTAGGAGCAAGCAAATTTTTTTATTTTTTGTTTTCCCCAAAGACAGGATACATTTCCTGAGCACTTGGTTCTGGATTCTGTTTGTTTCCAGATGCATTCCTAGCAGCTGACAAAACAAGACATTGCTTTATTAAAAAAATAATAATAATAAAATAAATTACCACATGATCTTTTGTGTGTGTATTACTCAAGCAGTCTGTGGATTATAATTTGTTTTGTCTTATAATTGGATGGTTTGGCTTATTCCATTTTTAGCTCTCCATGAAAGCCTGTTATATTTGCTACTGTAGGTATGATGATATTCTGATCAATGGACTACCAGATTGGCGACAGCCTGTGTTCTACTACAGGCGGGTGAGAAAAATGAGCAATGCTGAGCTGGCATTACTCTTGTTCATTATACTCACAGTGGGTCATTATGCTGTGGTTTGGTCAATCTACCTGGAAAAACAGCTGGTAAGTATTGGTAATAAATCAAACTTACTTCAATTATTAGTATTGAATTTCCTGCAGAAGTTTGCATATTATAGGGATCTCTGTCACTTTCTCTGTTTTGAATTTGGATTTTTCATATTTTAGAAGGATTATATTTAAAATTATCTTAATTATAGAATGAGATATTCAATATATCAGAAATGGGAATCTAAAACTGCTTAATTTTTCTTGATAATAAATAGCAAGAGATGGTTCTTCAGTTTTTAACTGGAAAGAAGAGAAATAAAAACTCTTCTATCATCTGTTGACACTGAATCATATACTACTGTAGTCATGTCTATTTTTAAACATTTTGGAAAACCGTAATCAATTTTATTCATTTGAAAGTCATACTTGCTTTGCCTTTGTTCTTAGCTAAATGGTTTTTTGTTTTGGGTTTTTGTTAACAGGATAGGCATTGGTAAGCAGTATAAACCACATTATTTTTTGATTATTTTATTTTTTGTTATCTAAATATCTGTTGCACTTAGTAAACTAGAAAAAAAAATAAGCATAACTTGAAAAATATTCATGCATTAGCATCTATTTACTTTTTTTTTTATTTTCCACTGCATTATTGAAGTTGATGAATGAGAAAGGAGGCAAGTTGAATGCTTTCTCCTCTTAGAAAACTTTGATTGCTATGGAGATACACATGAGTGACAGAACTGGACTTCATGTGTGTTTAAAGACTCGATACCATGGCAACAGTTATTGTTAAGATAGATCATTTTACTTAATCATGTAGGACCCCAAGATACATTTGCATAAATGCTACTCTACTGTTTACCCTTCACAGAAGAGTCCCAGTAACATTTGTGGTTTACATGTTAATGATAACCTGTAACCATAGTTCTTTCTACATCAAGGATGAACTGCTTAGCAGAAAAAAGAGGGAGAAGAAGAAAAAAACAGGCAGCAGGAGTACAGATGAAGCCAAACTTGTTGCTGTAGACAAAAATGAAAGGTGGGAAGGAGCTCTCTTGTTCTCTGCATTTTAAACCATTTTATCAGCTACTGATTTAGTTCTATCATTTTCCTCCTTGCATCTTTGAAATATTTTATGAGAAAAATAACTGTATTTGTAGTAATACCCATTGCTGATATAAAGTGTGCCAGTGTAGATGTGTTTTCGAGTTCTGATTTATAAATAAATGTGTGATGTTTATTCAGCAGATCAACAATAATTGAGAGATTAAGGCTGAATTAATAGTATCTGGCTTATAGAACGGTATCATTTCTACAAGTTTATTTTGGAAGATTTTACAACTTTTTCCATCTTTGAAGATTTTTGCCTTTTGATTACAATTAACAAGTTTCAATTTATTTAAGCTTTAGTTATTACTATACCAAGCAAGGAGTTTTTATGGGGTTTTAATGCTTGTCTGATTTAATGCTTTTTATCTGATTTCAGTTAAAAACAAGCGTGTTGGTAAAGGCTTCTAACACCATTGTTTGTTAAGAAACACATAGGGAAATAGTGACTTTCAGGACACTCCAAAAGATGCCACCATTTCTTCTATTGATTCATAGAAAGAAATAAAGGGTTTAAATAGTTCACACAGCAGGGGCATGAACTGGATCAATGCAGAATGGAGATCAGAGACCATTCTGCCTGTCGTCTTTCGTGATGACATCAGTAAGTAATGCTCCAGTGAGCTGCAAATTATATTAATTTTTATATATTGTTTTGTTTATGCTACAGCCTTCGTATCTGGTTGGCAGCATTTGTGAACACTTGGTTGAGGCTTGAGGCTTTTTCGGTTTTGGGTTTGTTTTTTGAAGTGATTATGTGGCTTATGAATTTCTCTTCTTGAAGAAAAGCCATTTTTAAGAGACTAAAATACAGCAATGATTAGAAGTTAGCTGTTACGTGTTTTGAATTAAATATTCAAAATGTGTCTTTAATATTATGTAGTTACACATTTTTACAGCGGTTAACAAGTGCTAATCATCTTAAAGGATAATGGGAAAGTTCTGACGTTGTGTGGCAGTAATGAAAAACTTTAAATTTTATTTGACTGCAGAGTACTGGACAAACCACAGTGGCATGACTTACTTCCATGCAAGCTGGGAATATGGTTCTGTCTCACTGTGAAAGCTTTACCTCAGCTATTCCAGGTAATAGTAGTGATTTTAAGTTATATTACGTAATTTTTCTGGATGGTGTTATTGTGCATAATCAGATGTATAGCACTTGTTCTTGTGAATTTTCTGGCTCAAGCACATACCATATGTTGCGCGCTCTCTCTCTATCACAATTACTCTTTGGAGGCAAATTTAATATCATAAGTTCATCAAAATATGAATATATTTAAAATGAATATTAATCTTAACATGGTAGGGAATTCAGCAGCAGTTCTTGCTAGGCAAAGCTACAAGAATAAATGATAGAGCAATGATGTATATGAATAGCAATGTCTTTTAAGCGATCTATTAACAAAAATGTTTTTATTTCAAATAGGCAAATACTATGTTTTCATATAAAATATTAATATGTCATTTAAATTTGGGGGAACAGTGAAATTACTTTTTCTGATTGGGTGAGCCTTTTGTTTTTTGAGTTGGTGGATAATGATATAAGTTGATACCTGAAATTACTAAGGTAAAGTAACAAAGGTATGGATGTAATTTATAAACATAAATATGATAGACTTGCCCACAGTTGTATTTTTTTAATCTAATACTATAAACCGTAAAATTTAGCTGATATTCATCCAGTGTATTGTCAGATTAGTTACCAGAATAACTTTTTAAATATCACATGCTCTTTATTTCAATTTCCCTTGAATACACCCATTTGTTTTTAATACCCTTGTCACTGCTAATGAAAATGAATCAGGGAAGGCAAGATGGATTTTACTTTGATTTACGGAATATTGAGTATTAATTCTGAAGTATAGTAGTATAAATAGTATGAATGGCATCAGTGTTCAATTTCTGTCTGTGTTCAAGTTGGAAAAAACGTATAAATTCATAATTCCTAATCTGTCAGCAAAAGGCTTGTAAAAGTTACAAATGTGATAAACTCTAGTCTTTCAACATCCGTTTTTATAGCCTTTAACATTTCCTACAAAGATATGCAAAAGTTAATATCCCTTTCTCTTTTAAAAGTTTCATCAGAACTGTGTCACTGTTTTATTAGAGAAACCTTTCTTTTTTGCAAGTTTTTAAAGCAAAAATTATGATGCTTAATTAAACTGTTGTGTTCAAATAAAGCATTGGTGTTCATCCTTCATTGAGGTGAGTCAGATGGAAAAGGATTAAGTTCAGCAATTGCTGTTGCTGCATTTTTGAAGCTTTCTTCATAATTACAGTACTTTCCCTTTTGCCGTAATTGCAAAGTATTAAAAATATAGAATAGAGGAATATTGATGATGAATTTTAAGTTAAGACTTCTTACAATCTTTCTAAGCTGTCATTTTATCATTTTTAAAATTTTAAGATAGTCTGTTAAGAAGTCAGTATAACAGGTTTCAGGTTTTCTGTTCAAAAAGCAGTTCCTATGTGTGCCAGAATAGGCAGAAAAGATGAATACAACAAAAGTGATGTTTTGCGCTTTGTGGACACCTAGCTAATATTTCTTGCTGTGGACTTTAAATCTATTAAATTAATGGTAATGGAAAAAAAGCTATCCAACAATTCATGGAAAACTGGAGACCAGCAAGCAGGGATTTGGTGGCAGGGGAAGCAGGATGTAGAGGAATTCAGAGCTGGAAAGCTTTGGAGCAAGAAGGAAGCAAAGAGATGAGTTCTAGAGTAAATTGCCCCATATGTAAATTACACTACTGCTAAACTCCAGGATTTGTTTTGTTGTTTTTGATGACCTGCTGATTATGTAAGTTAAAATGCAATAAAATATAAGTAATCTTCAATATTAAGAATATTCAGGACTTCAGGTACACAAAATGAATTACTGTAGCTTATTAACAGTGCGTAAAGGAGTGTTACCTCTTCTGTAGAGCATAAGAGCAGCAGCAACCTCATGTTTGAGACATTTTCTGAAATGACAGTGCAAAAGATATTGTCCATGTTGTAGGCAGCTGCACAGAGAGACCTTTGAGGGTTTTTTTTTTTTAGTTTTATTTAAGGTTTTAGCAAGTTCCGTCTTAGTTGTGATTACCAACATGTAGCAAAGAAGTAGCTATACTTAGATGATTATAACCTGGTACAGTTTCAGTTCTGAATATAAGTGCTTTCCTCTTTAATAATACACTAACATAGGCTTGAGATGGAGTATTTCAGGTTTTCAGTATAAGCAGAATCACTAGGGCGAGTTACCCACTTACGAGTAATGTCATATGTGTAGTTATGCATGCAGATTATTTAACAAGGTGTTACAGTGGTTGACATAAGGATGACTGCTACAGATTTCAGTTGTTGAGTTAAACTAAATTATTTCTGCAGTTATTTAAGAGCCAACAAGTTATTTTCAAAGTTGGCTGTCATTCATCTGCAACTGATGCAGTTGTAGATTAACTTCTAAAAATTCATCCATATTTAAATGAACCCTGTTTGGGACAGAAAAAGGTAAGAGTTAGCAATACTTTTAATTAAATATTGTTTCTGCCATTGAGTTTTTCAAAGCCCTGTCAACGAAGTAGCTGAAATGCTTCCTAAAATTAAGGAAACAAAACCACTTGCCTGTGTACACAAGTTCTTCTGCAAAGGAAACTTTATTAAAAACACCTCCCCTCCCCCCCAAGTCAACACCAACAAAAAAACACAAAACAAAAACCACAAGGAGAGGTCAGTTTAAACTTTTTGCCACTTCTTGTGTTTATTCCTTTTACCTAGCATCCATCTCTCCCCTCGTTAATGTGAATATTCTACTTACAACAGCTCTGTCTCAGGATTCAGTTGCTGAGCTTCTGCCCATGCCTGGCTCTCATTTATCCAATTGAGCGTCTTCTACTTCCCATCCTCCTTCAAAATGTCAGATTTCAGAAGGAGGCACTTAAAATAATTAAGGTGGGCCTTTACTGAAGAAAAATGCTTTGTTTGCATGCCCTTGTGATGGCCTTTGCCATTTTATCGTAGTTTGCATTTTATGCCAAGAAACTGGAAGAAAAATGGGTGAGAGGAGGATGAGAGAAACTAAAAAATGATTATTTTTTTTAAACTATCGACAATTGCATTTTCAGAGAGACTACATAGGCTTTTATATCCATGCGTTTAGTTTAGTTAAGTTTGGGAGTGAAAACAGCATCTTTAAGCTTTTTTTTAAGAAGCAAAGTGAAAAGAATATATAAAATGTTTCATAAATCAAATATCTGCTACATTAAGTGGAGTGTAAATTACGTGGACTATTACCAAGTTTAATTCTTATAATGTAGGCTCAAGAAAAAGACAGAAAAAGAATGCAAATTGTTTCTAAGGTCATTTATAGTTTACTCTTTCATGAGAATGACCTGGAAGAAGGCCATATATTTAAAAAAATAGAGAAGAAGGGGAGAAAAAAAGAAATAAAGCTCAATTAAAATGCTTATTGGAACTGAAATAATCCTTACAAAGAAATAAACCAGCTAAATATAGTGTGCAAGAATTTTAATTCAAATGGCGAATGTAATACAGAATAGACAGTTGTGTTAAGTATACTTTTCTTTTGTGGGAGAACAGTCATATGTAAATTGCAGTTTATTCCCAAAACAGCTGATGAGCGTTTTTTCTTTGGATGTGCAGACATACAGCTTAAGAATTAAGACATCTTTCTTAAAACCGTTGTTAATTATTCTTCACAAAATATTTCCTTCAGAAAACTGCAGATAGGAGTGTTTGTTAGTGTTCCTGTCAACTGCTTTTCCTCCGCCTTGATGTGGTGAACCTTAGCAATGAATGTCTGTATTTTTACACCAACTTCATTAATGCCAGTCAGCGCTAGGAAATGTTTTTTGTTAGTTAAATTATAAGCCTGCTCTTGTCCTGAGTGTAATGAAGCAGAAAGCATTTTTATTTGTTTCAGGCAGAAATGGATTCTTGTTAATAAAATAAAGTTTCCTGTTGTCCTCTGTCTACGATAGCGTAGGTGTAGCGCGTACACCCTAGCGGTGGACTGTTCGAAGAACTTGCGGTGGCTCGCCGGTGATGAGGAGGCAGTTCAAGCTCAATACATAGTTGCACTGGGTATAACCTAGTGAGACTATCAACAAAGCTTTCAATTACAATTGAAACTTTTGTTTACAAAGACCTTTGTGTAGCATGTAGAGAATTGAAACAAAAAGGCTGGTAATTTATTTTTATGTAGACTACCAGATGGTAATTACTGCAGCTGATTTAGTAGCCTGGAATAGATTCAAATTAGTGACCCAGAGGTGTTTAACTTCTTGGCATTTCTTCCTCAGGTTTTCTTTTAATCCATGATTACCCTTCAACACCTGTTCAAAGATGGTTCAGCTTTGGCCTTAAACGGATTGGCAATGTGTCATTAAACTCAAGAGGCTTTGCCAGCAGGGCATCTCCTTTGGCAAAGTTAGCTTTTAAGCAAGATTTGATTAGGTCAGCAAACATTTGCATGGGTTTTTTTGTCTTCATATGTGACTTTATACAAAATCATCATGTGAGATTAAAATAAAATTTATTGCGTTTAATAACGTATGCCTTGAATCCCTTCAAAAAAAATCTTTTTTTTATTAAAGTCAGTAAGGTTAAATATATCCTTAATTCCCAGTTTTACAGGGATTTGGCATGTTCGAATTTACTGTACAGCACCAATATTGATATAAGTTGTGAGGAGTGAGCAATTGCAGGATGTGTGGCACGAGTGATTGCCCATTTGCTCTGTTTCTTGCTATTTTGCAGCTGTTGAGAGAACCAAAGTGGGGATGAAGTTTTTGACCCCGAGGTCAATTAGAAGCTTAGAAGCAGGTCAGAGGAGAGTGGATGGTAAAGCAAGTTTTTGCTTACTTTACTGGGAAGTAAGCAAAAATAATTTGTGTGTAACAGGCTACTGTCTGATGCTCTGGAGACAAAATGTGCTTTCCTGCATAGTATAAGTTTTAAGTAAACATAAGACACTAAAGAAATTTGCTTTAATTGCCTGTTGTTCTTTGGCAGCCAATTTTGTTCTGCTCCTTCAAATCACTTGCTCTCTGTCTCCATACCCCAGCACACAAGTTAGAAGAGTGTTGCTCCAAAAGGCAATACTGGCTCTCAGTGGTGCTGCTCTGTTGTGTTGTGTGGCTTCACGGGGTGTGAGTGTGTCCCCATGAGGCCCTGCAGCATTGGCTTCAGTTCCCTCTTCTGCCTGCCTTTATTTCACCAGTGTGGATGTGGAGTAGCCAGCAGACACTGTGTTAGCACAGCCTGCTGTTGGTCACCCCATGCCTCGGAGGCTTTGGAACCACACTTTAACTGCCCGCAGGCTGTACACAGCTGAAGAGCCTGGCCACACCTGGTATTATTCCAAGGTCAAAGCATGATTTTCTGATTCTAAAGGAGGAAGTAATGCAATTCCTATTTATTTACTAGCTTGCCTTTGAGTAAACATGTAAAAATGCCAAAAAGAAATATAAATCATAATGTTTAACTTTATTTTTTTACATTATTTCTTACTTAACACGATATCACTAGTTTATAAACACATCAAAAGAGTGGTTTTGATGTGGTATAATGGCTGTCAGTTTTATTGCATAGAAGTAGCAAATTGAAGGTCAGATGTTGCGGTAGTTTAAATATGGCTCCTTTTTGTCTTGTTTTTTTGTACAAATTGTGTGAGAACACTGTCCTTAAAAAGACAAAAAATTAGTTCAAGAACTTCGTACAAATATTTCTCTTTAAGTCTATAGATTGATTTAGTAAGAATTGATGCAAAGAAAATTATTTCAATATACTGATTTTATGTATGCTTGTGGGAAAGTTTCCAGTTAACTGTAAATTCTGAGAGAATGCATTTTGTTTGTGTCAGTCCCTCACCTAGAGAAGCGAAATGCGAAGCTGGTCCTACCACAAAAATCTGTAATTAAGATTCACATATGGCCAATACAGCAAGTTGTTTCCAATGTTTGCCTTACATCTCCTAATTTCTAGTCTTTCTGAGGTAGACCAGAAAGCCAGGAAGATTAACTGGAGGGAGAAAAACGACCACAAAGCAAACAAACCCTCATCACCCTCCCCAAAAGTCAAGGAGAGGCTGGGGTGGCTGAGTCTTACTTAGGGCTGAAGTTTTTAGTTCCAGGATTAGTAGAGTTTGAATAAATACTGTATCTGTTGATTTAAAAACAACAAACCAACCAACTAAACCAAAATTTAAAAAAAAAAACAGAAAAAAACTACCAAAACACCACAAAGGACCCAGCTCAAACCCAAAGCCCCCAGACAAACAAAGGAAAAAAATCTTAACAGTCCAGTATCAAGAATTTCTATATTTCTGTCTAACTCAAGTGCAGCTTTGTCTTGGCAATCTCAATTTTTTTGACACAAGACAATACTGCTATGAAGAGGAACTGACATACAAGAATTTTTCAATATACTTTGTTCTTAATTGTGGTTAAGATATTGGAAAAAAGTTAATGAAGTGTTTGGTGTTTGTCAATTTTATTTTTCTTCCATAACACTTTTTGAAGTTTTTGGTTAAATATGAGGGTAATCATAGGAACTTCCTATTCATGACAGTTGAAATACAATTCAGGAATACTAATAGCAGAATTCTGCGTTTCTAATGTACTCTTTTTCTTGTTCTGTTCCTTTTTGGAAAGTGTGTATTTGAAATCATAGTATAATGAACCAGCATGTATTAGCCCTCTTCATTATTTTTTTTGCTTAACTACATGCATATTACTGCTTTGATGGTGAAGAAAAGTAATGTATTTGTGTTGATGTTCTTTTTTGAAAACTTCTCAAATTCCTGCAAATGAGAACAAAATATTTCTGATAAGGCAAGCTGGAGCTTGGACTTCCAAGCTTTGCGTTTGCGTGTCTCTTTCCTCTATCCCTTTCCACCCCTAGAAGGGCAAAAGTGTTGCTTTTCTTATGTTTATTACCTATTGAAGGTGAAGTATACATCAGGTATAAAATTTTGATGTTGCACGTATTTTGAGCTGTTTGGGAAAAGATCTTCTAAAAGAAAAATTATTACTGAATCTTGGGGAAGGAGCATTAGATGGGAAGAGGCTCTGTCTATATTGCCGGTGTTTTTGGGACCCTGATTATTCGTACTGAGGTAAAATGACTGCTTAAATGTATCACTTCAGAAAAGGAAAAAATCTGAACATAAATCTATTTTGAAATACTCTTACTACCAAAACTGAATATGCTTGAAAATGAATTTTCCTGTTTAGTTTTCAATAGCATCAGTCTAATGAGGAGTAAATGGAAGTGTGCTTATTTATGTTTAGGCAGAAGTTTTCTTCAACAAACTTATTTCAAACTGTTTTCTAGTGTTTCTTTTATTTTGACTTACAAGGTCTAACACCCATATAGTTAGTGTCTGTAGCTAAAATATTTACTCAGGTATGTCTTTTAATTTCTCTTGACAACCTGTAGAGCCAATTCTTATGCTTTTGTGGGAAGGATTTGATTTTCAAATCTTCAGAATCCATTTTGATAAATTTTTTCGTTGGTTTTTTCCTTTGGTTTACCTTATATGTATAGGTTTTTGTGTGCTTCAAAATGTGCAGTCTCCTCTTTTTTTGTGATTATGGTGTCAGCCATAATAAACTGTAATTAATAAGATAAAAGACTAATGTTGCCTTTGTTACTTGGATATTACTACATTTGCAGTGATAATCCATTTTATATCTATAAAGCAACAATACTGCTAAACTTAATTTATATGCTTCTGACTAGTTTTCTTTGTTGTTCAGCTATTGTGTCTCATTTTCATCTGAGCCACATTTCCAATTGTTCCATGATTGACATGCTGGAGAGATTGACAGTTACCCCCTAGTGCCTGCTGTCTGGAGATCCCACAAGCAATAATGGATTTTACTCCAGAATTTAGCATCAAATATTGGCTTTCAGTGTCAAATGGGTTAAATTTAAATGCTGGTTAATTGTAGCCATTTTGAAATCATAGCCTTAAACAAAAGCATTTTTTGGATATCAGTGTGTCTGAGTCCTGTGTAAGCCACACAATCCAAACATCTCAAACTTACAGAAGTTAACCATTACATTTAAGACTGTTTCCATTCCTTAATGATGCAAATAGTCCAAATCTGGAGAGTACAAGGAAAGTTTCTGTATGTGGTAAGGAATTAATATTTCAGGTAAACCAAAAAGAGAACCAATGATGATCCTAATTTCATCATTCAATGTTATAACATAGAAACTGAATATGTTTCCTCGCAGCCTTTGTATCTGCTGTTAAAAGTAGTCCTCCTGTACCTATACACATTTTTTAGC